CTAATGATCATAAATTATTGAGTCTCTATCAATTAAATCTCAAATTATGTGCAATTAATATTATTGTTAATTTTTAAACATGTTCGAATATGTTTTGAAATATTTCTATTATTTTATAATTTTTTAAAATTATAAGGTTATTTCATTATAAAAATGTATGTCGTTATGTAATAAACTATAGGATCATAAATCGAAAATTGTTACCGCGATTTTATAAATAAAAAAAATATTGTTGATAAAATTAATTTATAACTCTTTCAAATAATAAAAATATATTATAGTCAATTGTAAGTGATAATAATTAGTCGCATTCTCAATAACAAGTTTTAATTATTATTATTTTGTTCACGTTATGTATATTGATTTTTAATATTCTATGTTTAAAAAGTATTAAATATAATTTTAATAAATATAAATTTATGGACTTATACGTTCTATTAGAAATAATTAAAGCATGTTACTGTGTCCACACTAAAAAATTTTCCAGGCTCTGCCCCCGGTTTCAGTTAGTAAGTCAGGGAGTAGATGGGTAGTCATAAAGAACACATGGTAAATGTGATTGAAATAAACTATTTCTTTCTTCTTCAATGATTTAAAATTGTAAAAAAAAATTAAAAATAAAGAGAGAAAATTTCTCAAACCGTTTTCCTGTGAAATTAAGTGTTTTATATATACAAATAAATGTTATTATACAAATAGAATCTAGAGAACAAGAGGTCAAGACCATGTACGTGAACCAGGATTATAATACATGCAAAAATTAATTACATTATTTTTAGTTAACGCAAGCGGATGTCCGTCCCATAAACTGTGAGGAAGCATGCATTCCTCTCTGGCTAGGCTCTCGCGTGTCCGAGTCAGAACAGATCAATGAGCGATCGATTTACAGAACGAATTAAACAAGAATTAGGTTCTTTCATCAATCTCCTAGCCGAAGTCAATATTGTGTTCAACTCCGCAGTTGGAAGGATTTTTTTAATTATCCTGAGAATGACAATATAAAGATTGCTTAATATATTTGCTATTATTGAAGGAAACCTAATTTTTAAACGTATTATGTTCAGTTTTTATTTTGTTTTTTAAACTAAGATAATAAAAATCTAATTTTCACAACTTTTGGGCCAAGAATCAACGGGGCACCACACACTAGACTTTTCTAGAGATCCATGGGTTGATGTTGGACCCTTGTGTGGATGTATAGACCTGACAAGAGATTGAATTTGAATCCGACTTCAATCATGTTGAATTCAATTATTCAATGGTTTTTATTTTCATAGTCTATATTCAAATCTTTTATGAATGAAATATTCGGTTCGATAATTTGATCAAATCTAAATAACTTAATTAAGTTGTATCTTACCAAATTACATCTAATTTCCAATTCAAAATTGCTAAATAATCACATAATTTAGTCATATATTTTTATAAAAATACATATATATGTGTGTGTGTGCATAATGTGGAATGAACTATAATCGAAATGAATACTGATATGTCCAAATTTGAATTTATTAAATATAACGTAACATATTCAAAATCAGATTTGAATTATCGATAAAATTATATCAATGCTAATTGGAATTGTATCCGATCTATTCACAAGGCCCTGCCAAAAAGGCTATATCATGGTGTGTAGTTGATTGGAGTACCTGTATGGCTGAACTTGGTGCACACACTAATGGGCTTACAAAATGAGGGTTGGCATGGTTTCGTTGACATACCAACCCAGTAATTTTGGATAAAACATTTCAAATGTATCACCAATAGGATTAATAATATAGCCGAATTACTTGGGTTCGGTTCAGGTTCAATCTTTATATAACTCAACTTGAAATTAGTCGACCTTGAATAACATTTTAGGCTTGTTTAAAAAGTTCGGCTCCATCTCACAAAACTCAACTCATTTATATATATATAAAATAATCGACCTACTCAGACTCAACTTATTTTTTAAACGACCAAAACTTAAACATTTTTTAGACTCGTTTAAAAACGAGTTTGACACACTCAACTCGATTTTCAATCCTAATCACCAGTCTCTATTCCAACATCTCAGCATCACAATTCTATTTTTATCCAAGGCTGCACCAAATATGAAGCTACCCAATCTTGGGTTGGAGTTATTTGGGACCGACCCAACCCTAAAATATAGATCATCAGATTTAACAGATTAAAATAGCAAATTGTTCTTTACCCTGGACTCAGTCTCTCTCGAATATCTCTCACTCACTCTCATTTCCACTCTCTCATCTACCCTACTTAAACACCATCCACGGCCACGAGATGACATGTATCTGGAGCTAAAAATTTTGAATCAGTCTGTCAGTAATTTTTTCTAATCATTTGTGCCAAGACTAAAAAATTTACTAGAGATGAAAGTTAACCCAAAATAATGGTCAAGTTTCGACCCTCAATTTACAATTCATCGCAGTCTCCATTGACAACAGCTCCGTGATTTGGGACAAACGTGTATGACTGTCCAATCCTGGTTCATTGCAACTATAATAAGTGCAAAGTGGGCAATACCACGTGCCAATGCCTCTACTTCATTAGAAGTGCCAAATGTGATAGGTCAGGTCATTTTGTCTCAGATTGTTTTTGAATTTGTGTCAAAAATTTCAAAACCCGAATTTCACATATTTAATATTTGTGTCGAGATATATAAATACTAACTTTACCTGACAATTACCCGAATACTACCTATTTAAAACGTTTAAAAAACAAATCACTTTTTAGTTAGCACATATATTATTTTGATCTGTTTAAAACACATAACACAGATTTGTTTAACATATGAGCAATGCTACATGAACTTAAAAAATAGACTTAAAAATTAGACTTGATAATCTTAACCATTGATTTCACTGTGAGTCCCAGCATTTATTAGGATCAACTATCTATTCAATGGTTGAGATTATCAAGTCTAATTTTTAAATCTAGTTTTTAAGTTCATCTAGCATTATTCTTAACATATATAACATGTTTTCACACTTGTTCATTGTCATTAAATACATCATTCAATTATTCATTTAAAATTTTAAATAATTTTTTTACAAATAACATCACATCTTATCAATAAAATTAACTAAAATACATTTAAGTTTCAACCCAAAAATTAAAGTAATAACTATATTGTCAATTATCATAGTAAAAATAAATAATAATGTTAAGATCACATCAGTCATACATAATTGACAAATTATATTGTTATAAACGGGTCTACAATAAATTAAATCGAGTTCATATCTGAATCAGGTCAGCCCGTTTAAAATATATAGATTAATCAAGTCAAACTCAACCTAATTTTGACATAAACCTAACATAATTTTTTTTCGTGTCTAAGCTTATTGATCTATTTTAACTCATTAATTCATTTAATTTAGTGTTAAAAACATTAATTTCGTATTTAATTTATATCATGTTAACGTTGCGTTATAAAAATTGAGAGCCCTACACTCCATTACTGATATGAAAACAACTGAACAGAGCACGTTTGGTCGGAATGTGATTATTAAAAGAAAAGAACACGCAATGATACAAAAGTCCCCCACTTACTTTAGTAGGACCCACAAGCATGCCCCCTATTAGACTTGATTAAAAATCAAAGTCCTTCAGACCATGCCGTACATCCACTACTACGAGTCTTACGTACAAAGTACAGAAGCAAACAAAGAACATGATGGACAGACCACCCCATGCTTGAGACTTGATGGCTAGCCAGCCATATATTAAATAAAAGCCAAAACACATCACTTCTTGAAAGGAATTGCCCTGATCACCACCTGGTGGTATAGTGCTGCAAGTGCTGCCCCAATGAATGGTCCAACCCAGAAAATCCACTGCATTTATCACACAAAGATTGTGTATCAACTCTCAAAAGCTTTGCTGATATAAAGACCCAAATTTTGTCATAAGAGTAAGAATTAGGTGCAACGGTAACAGTACGGTTACGTAGTAGGAGTGTGATCATTAAATAATAAATTTAAAAATAAATAAAATAAAATGACAATTCTTAATTATTTTAAGAACAAAAGGAATAACTAAATCAAATGTCACGTTACATTTTTATTACCAGTTTAAACCATTGTTTTCGATTGAATTCTTTGAAATCAAATTAAATACTTTAAAGATTTATCGATTAATTAAAGAAATATATATAGTCCAAGGTTGGATGGGTGGTGCTTACATGGTCATCCCAACCTCGGTCCTTGTTGAATATGATAGCCGCACCAAGACTCCGAGCTGGGTTAATCCCGGTACCGGTGATCGGAATCGTCGCCAAGTGCACCAAGAACACGGCGAACCCAATAGGAAGTGGCGCCAATATCTGAAATTCCAATCACAATATCACCAAAATTCATCGACCTTAAAACAAAGTAAATACGATCATATAAAAAAAAAAAATTAGGCATTAATACATGAGATTATGACTCAACTGAGTAGAGCTAACAATAAAATGACATTATTTGAGACGGACCCCCCTAATATTTCAGCATTAAACTCAATTATTTTTTAGGTGAAACTTAATTTCATTGAATAATAGGATAAAAAATAAAGAGAAAATGATGTCCCCGTTGACATGATAGAAATTTTTATTATTATTATTTTTACTCATTTGAAATTTAAATTTTGCTTAACATAACAGCATCATATCATTCGGTCCAAATTTATAGTTCTTTTATTTGGTCAAGCTAGTATTAATAATCATGATTCAAAGCGAAAGTTACAGTATCAATAAGGGTTAATAATTGATCAGAGACACATCGGTCGTACCACCGCAATCCAATATTAAATGATGCTACCTAAAAAAGAGTTAAACATAACAAGAAAATTATATGATAGAATAATATTAAATAAACTTAAAATCTAAATTTGAATTGAACAACCGAGTCGAGAAATGTTATCGACNATTTTAACTCATTAATTCATTTAATTTAGTGTTAAAAACATTAATTTCGTATTTAATTTATATCATGTTAACGTTGCGTTATAAAAATTGAGAGCCCTACACTCCATTACTGATATGAAAACAACTGAACAGAGCACGTTTGGTCGGAATGTGATTATTAAAAGAAAAGAACACGCAATGATACAAAAGTCCCCCACTTACTTTAGTAGGACCCACAAGCATGCCCCCTATTAGACTTGATTAAAAATCAAAGTCCTTCAGACCATGCCGTACATCCACTACTACGAGTCTTACGTACAAAGTACAGAAGCAAACAAAGAACATGATGGACAGACCACCCCATGCTTGAGACTTGATGGCTAGCCAGCCATATATTAAATAAAAGCCAAAACACATCACTTCTTGAAAGGAATTGCCCTGATCACCACCTGGTGGTATAGTGCTGCAAGTGCTGCCCCAATGAATGGTCCAACCCAGAAAATCCACTGCATTTATCACACAAAGATTGTGTATCAACTCTCAAAAGCTTTGCTGATATAAAGACCCAAATTTTGTCATAAGAGTAAGAATTAGGTGCAACGGTAACAGTACGGTTACGTAGTAGGAGTGTGATCATTAAATAATAAATTTAAAAATAAATAAAATAAAATGACAATTCTTAATTATTTTAAGAACAAAAGGAATAACTAAATCAAATGTCACGTTACATTTTTATTACCAGTTTAAACCATTGTTTTCGATTGAATTCTTTGAAATCAAATTAAATACTTTAAAGATTTATCGATTAATTAAAGAAATATATATAGTCCAAGGTTGGATGGGTGGTGCTTACATGGTCATCCCAACCTCGGTCCTTGTTGAATATGATAGCCGCACCAAGACTCCGAGCTGGGTTAATCCCGGTACCGGTGATCGGAATCGTCGCCAAGTGCACCAAGAACACGGCGAACCCAATAGGAAGTGGCGCCAATATCTGAAATTCCAATCACAATATCACCAAAATTCATCGACCTTAAAACAAAGTAAATACGATCATATAAAAAAAAAAAATTAGGCATTAATACATGAGATTATGACTCAACTGAGTAGAGCTAACAATAAAATGACATTATTTGAGACGGACCCCCCTAATATTTCAGCATTAAACTCAATTATTTTTTAGGTGAAACTTAATTTCATTGAATAATAGGATAAAAAATAAAGAGAAAATGATGTCCCCGTTGACATGATAGAAATTTTTATTATTATTATTTTTACTCATTTGAAATTTAAATTTTGCTTAACATAACAGCATCATATCATTCGGTCCAAATTTATAGTTCTTTTATTTGGTCAAGCTAGTATTAATAATCATGATTCAAAGCGAAAGTTACAGTATCAATAAGGGTTAATAATTGATCAGAGACACATCGGTCGTACCACCGCAATCCAATATTAAATGATGCTACCTAAAAAAGAGTTAAACATAACAAGAAAATTATATGATAGAATAATATTAAATAAACTTAAAATCTAAATTTGAATTGAACAACCGAGTCGAGAAATGTTATCGACCCGAAAGATATAATTCGATCAACTCTTATTGATATGGGTCGATATTTTGAACCAAGTTCACTACAACATAAACAAATAACTGTAATATGAATTTAATCATGCATAGATGGTTTTGTACTTACAGGGACATGGGAGTCTCTGGCGCTGCGCTTCGCATCGGTGGCGGAGAAGACGGTGTAAACGAGAACAAAGGTTCCGACGATCTCAGCACCAAGACCAGAGCCTTTGGTGTAACCATGTGCGACAAAGTTGGCACCACCACCCAAAATCTCGTATTGGGACTTCTGAAACCCCTTCACAACACCAGCACCACATATGGCTCCCAGGCATTGCATCACCATGTAGAACACTGCTCTTGTCAACGACAGCTTCCTCGCCAGCAAGAGTCCAAATGTCACAGCCGGATTAATATGCCCTCCTGCATAAAACCCCAAATTTCGTCTGTTAATAATACAACTAATCTAAAAGCTTAATTTGTTATTATTACAACTGTTAGATAACAAATTTGAACCGATAATTTTCACTTATTTAAGGTGAATTAACCAACTTAACATTCTATTAGTCAATGTGATAGATAAGGTGTGAAGATGATACCTGAAATGCCCGCAGTGCAATAGACGAGGGCGAAGATCATGCCACCGAAGGCCCAAGCAATTCCTTGAATCCCAACCGTCGAACATTTGGAATCTGACTTAGCAACACCCATCACCGTCAAGACAGTGATGTACAGGAAGAGAAAAGTAGCCATGAACTCGGCGATCCCAGCTCGATAAAACGACCATGAACACAGCTCGCCGGACTCGAACAGCGGCGCCGACGGTGGCTCAATGTAGTCCTTGTCTTGGCTCTGCGCTGCCGTCCCGAGTGGTTGCTTCTCCGCGAACCTGTTCGCTCCCAATCTCACATCTTCCTCTTTGCCCTCCATCTCTCTCTCTCTCTCTCAATCTCACACACACACAGAGAATGGCTTCTGGCTTTCTCTCTGTACTGTAATGTAGACTGCCCGTTTGATGGAGTGTGAGTGAAGGGAGGGGTGGAGATATATAGGAGCGGTGGGGCCCAATTACAATAATCAATTTTGTTTTTAAAATTTGGTGTTATAATCTATTTTAACTTTGGTGAATTACACTTTGTACCTTTAAAAATCTCTAAATTGCTAATTTGTATTGTAAAAAAATAATACTTTTATATTATACAATCAATCATATAAAAAATAAATAATAAGGACTATTTTAATAAAATTGAATATGAAATTCTCATGTAGAAGACTTAAAATTGAGAAATATATAAAAACTAATTCACAAAAAATAAAAAATTGCATGAAAAAAAGAATAATACTAGGAATCTTAAATAAGTGTGGACCATAGGATAAATGGTTCTCGCTGGATAAAGTTAATGAAATCCATTGATCTAAGGGTTCACAATCATTTGGGATCCCTAGTATTACTCAGTAAAAAATTATCAAAGAAAATGTTTGGTTTTGAAAAATGTTAAATGCATTTTTATAAGATTGAGGTTGCAATGAAATTTAATCATCTTTTAGGGTTCAAAATGTTATTTCTTTTATTTCGTTATCAAACGACCGACCAATCATAATTCAGGTTTTTCATTAAATTATTTCGTGTTAGGACATAAATGCCCTTTGTATGTGCAGTTGAAAACGACGTTGCGTTGCGTTGCGTCGGTTGGGTATTTTCTGGTGGATTGATCCTAGGTGGCAAAATGAGGACCATACATGTAACACGAGGACCACCGTCCCAGTCGCCACTTTGAATTAAGTGGAGAAAAGAATTACGGTGGCGGTGGTAATTTGGGGTGCTAGTAGGGGCAATTTCTAAAAACTCGAAGTAGTGGGGGTCACTTTAGGTATGAGAAGTTTTCTCCAGTATCCACGTGTTAAAAAAGTGCTGGTTCATTGCAAACCAATCTTCTTTCTCCACGTGTGTAGCCGACCAATCTATTAATTATTTCATTGGTACCACCGCGTGTTGTAAGTGAGATAGGATTTGATAAAATTGAAATTGAACGTTGAAAATTTAATGATTAATTTTAAGTGTTAAATGTTGAATTTTTTAATTTGTAAATTGTTTGTTATCAATTGAAATTTAAGTTTAAATTTAATCAAATTGTTGAAAAATAAAATTAACTGAAATTTGAAAATTATTATTATTTTAATTTTATTATTCTCTTTAACCATCTATTTATAATTGTCTTATTCTTATAACCACCATCACATCAGTGGTGGTGGTGGTGGTGGTGGTGGATGATGGTGGTGGTGGTAACATAGTGGTGGGTAATGACAACAATGGTTATGGTGGTGGTAGTGGTGGTGGTGACACAATAATAATGGTAGCAATGGTGATGATGATAAATGGTGGTGATGACAATGACACAATAATAATGATGGCGATGGCGGTGGCAATGACAATGGTAGTGGCGATGATAATAACACAATAGTGGTGGTAACGGTAGCACAATGATATGTGGTGGTGGTGACAAAATGGTAGTGGTGATAGCGACACAATGATAGTAACAGTGGTTGTAGTGGAAATGATGGTGATTATGGTTGCGATGGCATAATGTTAGGGTGGCGGCAACGATGGTGGTTGTGGCAGCAGCGACACAATGATAGTGACAGTTGTGGCAATGATGATGATGGTGGTGGTGGTGTTTAATGACAGTTGTGATAGTTGTAACATAATGGTAGTGGTGATGACAATGACACAGTGGTGGTGATGGTGGTAGAAGTAGCGGTAGCAATAGTGGTGGTAATGGTAGCACAACTATAGTGATGGTGACAACAATGGTGTTGGTGACTATGGCACAATGATGGTGGCGATAGTGTTGATGGCGGTGGCGGTGGCGGTGACGGTGACGGTGGTTGTGGTGATAGTGTTGGTGGTGGTGGCGAAGACACAATGGTGGTGAGGGTATATTTGTCAATCATGAAAAATTGATAAAATTTTTTAATAATTAACATTTTCAATATTAAGTGATGAGTAGGTGGCTCGCTACTTAATATTTTAAGTATTTCTTAAAAATAAGCTAAAATTTTAGATATTAAGTAGTATAAGTTTAGTTTATCAAACGAGTTTAATTTATTAAGTGCTTAAAGTATTCAGTTTTAAGTTTTAAGTGATGTTATCAAATAGCCCCTAAGTGAACAAATAAACAAGTAACTTTGACAAAATTTAATAGCCACACATTCATGTAAAAAAGTAGAGTTTATTTTATATATTTTTTAACTTTTTCGTTAGACAATTATATCACGTAATATTACTGATATAGTGTTATATGAAAATTTTGTACCTGATAAGTAAACACGAGGCAAGATATTAGTATAGTAAGATTGAGACTTAATTATGGTATTAAATGAAAATATTTTAGTACTTTATCTCTAAAATTTATTATTTTAATGGATGTGTTTTATAATTTGTGAGCTATTTTATAATTAAAAATGAATATTTTTATCATTGTTGTTGTAACTATTTTTATCAATTTTTTTCGGTATCATAACAGTAATAAAAAAATTTACAGATGTGATACATAGAGATATGGTATCAATTTTGTTTTCGATACCATAGACAACTCCGTAAAATTGACTTTGTTGTACAAATTAAAATACTATAAGTTAAATTGGTGTTTTATAAATAATTTTATTTTATTACCATAAGTTAATTTATTGAATATTATATGAAAATATATTTTATTATTATTTCTTAACCAAGTATTGCATGAATTGTCATATATACTTGGTGACATTTTTGATTGATTTTATTAGTGCACGAGTCGAATGATTTTTGTAGTTAATTGGAAACTTATGGATGAGAGATTTTGTTAATTAAAACATAGAGATTTTAAATTTGAGAACCATGGTGTTCCATACGCAATGTGATAATGCTTAGTACTAGTCACCTCGGTTTGAACACTTGTTTAACTAAATAGGACTTCTTAATTTTGACATATCTTAATTTTGTATATGAATTTCACATTCGCAGAGGCGATATATGATTTTCAAATTGTTTTTTTAACTCAAAAACGAAGTCATTGGTAAACTTATTTACATCAACATATCATTTACAATAAATAAATTCAATTGCATTAAACACCTAAGGGTGGTTCACGGTCTGTGATCCAATAATCAAGTTTATCAGATTTTCAGGTTCAATACTTTTACATTTTCTAAGAATCAACAAAATATGTTTTTAAAGTAATTCAAACTACAATAATCAATTTCAGAGTTTGAAAAAATAGCCTGGACAATAAGCCAATAACTCCATTCAAAATAATATAAGAAGACCTTTACAACGACATTTTTGGGCTTCTTTTTGTCTAGAACGTGTGCCACCAACCCTTTTTTTTTCCTAACAATTGTAGAATAAAGAACTCGTGGGGCGGTGCCTGGTCCTAACAAGTGACAACAATAGCTTATCTTTCCTGTCATTTTTTAAATTAATTCTCTTCATTATGTTTGGATTCCAACCAATGATTGTCTCAGACATATTTACCTGTGGAATTTTTTCCACGCTGGCAGCTTTGTCTTAGATTATATTTTGATTAATTCCAAATGCAATTAATTTTATATATGTGATCGTTGAATGCCCAAGAATTGCAATTGGGCTATAGCCACCGTCCCGTTACAATACCATAATATCGCAAGTTTAAATTTCATCACTCTCCTCGCCTGTAATCAAAAAAAAAAAGAAAAAATTATCGTTGAATTGTATACATGGTTTGCTTATAACTAAATTAACAATAATCTTATTTTTAAAGAAACTTTTTAATATCAAAAGTTGAACAATAGTCGTGCAATATTTATATTTTAAATAATAATTTTTTTAATTACATAATTTAAAATAAAAATGAACATAAATAAAATAAGAGAGAATTAGCGGGATTATTTGGCATTAAAGATCGTATTTATTGAATTATTTGACATTGAGGGAGGTGTAGACAAAATAATATTTTTTTGTGGAGAAATTTTTTTGGATTAATTTTGTTTCGTAGAATTATTTCTTTAATGGACACCGTCTATTACAAATTATTTATTTATTATTATTTTTTTTTGTTAACTTTTCTAAATTGGTCACAAGCCGACGAAGCCGTCGCTTTAATAAGTGTAAGATGGCTATTTAAAAATTGTGAGCAGCCGCCTATTGGATAAAGGCCACAACTTTGCAACAAAAATTTTTCCGAAGGAAGAAAAATAATAAAAAATAAACCGGGCCATCAATTTATCTAATTTTATAGTCAGTAAATTAAATTCTCAGTTTACAAAAACAAGGCAACAATCAAAATTTACCTAATTTTTCGTCGATGTTGCCCTTGCTTCGAGCTGATTTTTTTAGGTAAAAAACTTCATGAAAAAATCAGAGTTAAAAAATTTCTCCAAAACTATTAGGGGTGGTCTTTAAAATGTTAGTTAATTTTTTTGTGTCAAAATAAAAAAAATAATTGTATTTATGTGTAAATTATGTACAATAAATTTCAAAATATAAATTTTTAATTTTTTTACATTACTAATAATATTTTATAAATATAATAAACTAAAAAATTATATGAGATCCATAACAAAATTCTAAAAAATCAGAAGAAAATTTTAAAAAATTAGTTTATTGAATCAACCAAAATAAGTTTTTTCGAGTTCAAAAAACTACTGCGTAAGCTTGTAAAAAAAATCAAGGTCTAAATACACCTAACTTATTTTACTCTAAAATTTTTAAAAACTATTTATTTAAGTTAGTTACAAACTAACCCATTATATAAAAATGACTTAACTAAGGAGAAGTAAAATGAAGTTTACTCTTTAAAAAAAAATTAAAGGACAGGAATTGGAATTAAAAAAGATGAAGTGTTTCCTTCTTTCTACTTTTTCATCTACATTAAAAAAAAAGATAAAAAATATATTACTTTTACTTCCATCCTCTCTTTCCATCCACTCTACCATGTACATCATTGAAACCATATTTCTTTGACAATAGATTATTACCAGAAGCCACTTGTTTCCTGTCT